GCATTCCATCATCTACTCGACCATCGAACTGCCATGTCATCTTCTTTGCACCTTATGCTTTTGAAAACAACCTCCTAAACCTTGGCACTATCAGAAAATACCATAATGTTTTGGCGGGTACTCCCCTATCCTCTTTCTTATACCGCGAGGCTTTAGTAATTGGGAAAATCTCTAACGATTCATATTGGTTATGATACAATACAAAATCATTAAGGAAAGCATGCATTTTCTCATAAGGTAAACCCATAGAGCTTAATGTCTTTTTTTCCTCGTATGTACCAATAGGAAGGACATTGTCTTTGGGAAGCATGTCTTTCACCAATTATAATAACACATTAAAACTTGTTCCTGTCCAACAATGACCAGCCTTCACGTTGTATAATTTGAGTATGGCTGATAATCTTGTGTACTTAGTGCAACCTTTATACAATGGTTTTTCGGAATCGTTTAACAAGCTCTCCAACATGGAAGGGTTGTCATCAAATTGATCCTCAATTCCATGCAACATGTCCTCTAACCAATTACCCTCATTATTATTATAAACTTCGCGCACATTATCCCTTTTCTCACCACTACCACTATCTTGTCTGTCCTGAAATTCTCCATGCCAGATCCAACAGGTATATGTTTTATCAAATTCTCATTTATTCTAATGATTTAGAATTTCATTGGGTCTCTTATGCAAAAAATTATGACACATAAAACAAGGACAACATATCTTAGAGCGACCTCCACTGTTTTCAACTGCAAATTTAATAAATTCCTTAACCCTTGCTTCATATTCAGGGTCACCTAACTAGCTTTGATGTTGTTATCCAATTTCGATCCATTTCTAACCACCAAGAACAAGACCTCAATTCTTAAAAATATCACTTATTTAAAGCTCATATAAAGGAAATTTGGAATATAACCACAAGATTTACAACATCTATAAAACAATATGTAAAACAATACATAAATAAAATAATAATTGCATGTGTATATTAATATTGTGTAAAAGTCGAAAAACGAGATTGAGATAAATTAACTTACCTATGAAAAAGAATAGCACCTCAAATACTCAATCACGAATCGAATATGCGCTTCAAACAAACATTTAAATTACTTGAAATTGTATGTACTCCCTTAAAAAAACAAATATGATACGCTATTATTCATTAATAAATAAAAATTTTGGGATCCATTTTTCTATTCTTTTTTTAAGCAAAAATAATATACTATACAAAGTAAACAATAGAAACATGGGAGAACTAGTCATTTAATACTTTGTTTTTTAATGTGAGTAGCATAAACATCAATTTTGGGAGCTTCCATGTTCATGGTCTGTCATTTTTTATAGCACAAATTTTTTTGACATGCAAATATTTTATCCTTACATGTGGGGTAAGCTTATATACTTTATTTTAAACTCCTTTTACATAGGTAAAAAAACGGAACCTTTGTACGAAAATCAAATTCCTAATAGATACTACTAGCTGCTCGTATCTTAAACAAAGCTCTACTCTAAGCCAAATCAACATACTAGTACGATTGAAATACTAATTTTATGCATAAAATAAAATAAAATAGAAATAATGTAAGGAATTTAAAACTAAATAAACTAAACAAAATTTGAAACTTTAATCAAACCATTATTTAAATTCTTATGCATTTTTTACAACAGTAGAATTTTTATTTAGCAAAACAAACAAGGCAACCTCGATGAAACGGTAGAATATGAACAAAAATCAATCAATTTTATGAATTATATGTGCTACATACATAGTTACAAAACTAGTAGAGGGAAAACTAAAAAAAATACCTTCTCCAAAGTTAGGGCATTAATTCGACAATTGCAGAATTCTCAAGCTCCACCAAGTAAATGCAAAATCGGCACTTGAGTGGTGGAATTGTTGTTGCTACGGTGCGTCGACACTACTAAAAAACCCGCTCAAACTCGACGCTTTTTTTCCATATTCTCGACGGAAAAAAGCGTCGAAAAATTAATTCTCGACGCTTTGGTAAAGCGTCGAGATTTTGGCCGTCGAGAATTCTCGACGCTTTTAGGCGTCAATACTGTCGAAAATTTTTCCTGCCTAAATATCTATTTGACGCTTTAAAGCGTCGACAATATCGACACTTTTAACTATCAAAGTATTTCTTTGTAGACGCAGTTCAATGTAGGCAGTTTTATTTTCGCAGCTGATAGCAAGTGTTGGCGGGATATTAGATGGACGTTTAAAAGCGTCGAGAATTTGAGTTCCCTTCTTTTCTAAAATTCTATATTAGGACAATGGAATATTTCAATATGTATAAATACCAATCTGAATTTGCAATTTTGAAAAAAAAATCACAAATTAAGAGGCTAGGTAATATAATTAATAATAATAGTACGTACGTCCAAAATATATATAGTCTAAAATAATTATAATACACCGTACCATAACATTAAAGTAAAGCTTATCAAATAATATGTTTGAACTACTACATAATTACTCTTAGCTAATTTCAGAATCCAAAAGACAACCTCAAAGCTAAAATATATGATCTTCAACCTGTTGAATCTATGGCCATCTCCAAAACCATTCAAATCTAGCCAATTAATATAATTACAAGTTTCCTAATATGAGTCAATGGTTAAACGAGCTAAGCATCCCTTGATTCATATCTTCCACCTCCATGGTCTACGGAGTCATTAGACACCTGAAATTGATATTAAAAAATGTAAGTAATTTTTTGTACATATATAACAAACATAACTCCCACTTTTTTTTTAACACAAACATAATTCCCACTTTTTTTAACAGCCATCTTCCTCTATAAATTACCCCAAAATCAAAGAAAAACTGCAAGAGAGACTGGAAGAGGAAAAGGGAAAATATATCGTATATAAGAAAACTACTCTGTATCAAGAATGCTAACTTGCTCAATGAGGAAAAGGGAAAATATACATATATAACAAGCATAAACCTTGGCATAAAAATGATAGACAAAAAAGAATATTTCAAATGCATAGAATATAATGTTTGAAACGAGAGTGAAAATTATAAGATGTTAGACAAAAAGGTCAACATATGCAAAACTAAGTCTCATCATCGCCCATATCAAACAAGTCCCTTGGCTTAGTCTTAACAACATGTAACCATCCTTTACTTATCTCATCCTCGATATAAAACACTTGTTTTGCTTGAGATGAGAAAATAAATGGATCATCATATAAATTTCGACCAGTGTGCATCAGCTTCGAGAAATTTACACAAACGTTCCCAGTATGGTATCTTTTCAAACCCCTTTTTATGTCAACCCAATCACAATGAAACATTATAACCTTGTGAGAACCATAATAATCTAATTCATATATTGCTTTAAGTCTTCCATAATACTCTTGGCCTTCTGCCTCTAACATAATGCCAGAATTTTGTGTCTTTCGATATCGCTCGCGATCCACAATGCTAAATTTATAACCATTGATGATAACACTTTTTATCCTTTTACAACGATTACTTAAACCACCAGCCAATATTTTTCTCAACTTTCCTTCTGTTGTACTATCATCTATGTTGTGGACCTATGTAAATAAATAAATAAATCTTACGTTAAGCCTGATTAGGACTTCCTATGTGAAAAGAATAAAAAAATAAAAATTAACTTTGATATTTAGTCACCTGATTTTGTAACCACCCAGAAAATTCATTGATTATCCACCCATTTTCTACAATTTCGTTCACTTGAAAGTGATTCTCTTGTCTTTTTTGGTATATGAAATCACTTTAGACATAGAAAAAATTATGTTAACTAATAGTATAATAATAGCTAACAAACAAGAAGTTATTAATTTATTGCAATACTTACTCAAGAATTGGTTTCATCTCATCTGAATGAAGCAAAATATAACGATGAGCTTGTTTTAAACTTTTATCATCAAGACGAAACTTGTCCTGTTTTCCAACCACACGACAGCCCGAATTAAATAAATAGATGTTGTTTATAACACCATCTTCATTTCTTTTTGGTCTGTTAAATATGGTCTCAACACTATCTAAATATCTCGAACAAAATGTAATTGTTTCCCATAAAAGGAACCCCTCGGCAATGGACCCTTCAGGTTGGGCTTTATTACTTACATGAGATTTCAAAAATGCCAAGTACCTTGTAATATAAAAATGAATGTAAATAAATAAAATCTTTAAAAAAAAGTAATATGATAATATTATTTATTTTAACGAAGCTTTGAAAATATAAGTTAAGATATTGACCTTTAAACGGGATACATCCATCTGTAATGAACTGGTCCACCGAGTCTAACTTCATCCACTAAATGAATCAATAGATGAACCATGATTATGAAAAAAGTTGGTAGAAACTCTTGTTCCATCTTACAAAGTGTCAAAACAAGCTTAGATTGAATATCATCTAACTCCTTTGTATCAATAGAAGTTGAACATAGTCGTTTGAAAAAGTCAGACAACTCCTCAATCAAGTCAATTACTTTCGTGGCATTTGATGCTCTTAAAGCAACCGGAAGGATATCTTGCATGAGGATATGATTGTCATGGCTTTTCATATTGATAAGTTTTCGTTGCTTCATGTTCACACATCTTTGCAAGTTAGATCCATATCCATCTGGAACTCTAAGCTTTTGTAAGACTCTTAAAAACCGTTCTTTTTCTTCTATAGACATGTTGTATGACGCGGGAGGCATATAGTTATTTCGACTTGTATCAATCCAAAGATGAGATTTAATATTCAACTTCTCAAGGGCCTCTCTTGCACTCTTGCCATCTCTAGCATTGTCCATATTGAAAAGAGTTCCTAACAAATTGTCACAAACGTTCTTTTCAATGTGCATAACATCTAAATTATGTCTTAGAAGATTGTGTTCCCAATATTCCAAGTCAAAAAATGTACTTTTCTTTTTCCAAAGAACATTATTAGAATCTTTCTCACCATGGTCATCATCAAATTCATTAATGGATATCCCACCTTTCTTTCTTTCTCTTTTCTTATTGGAGGGTTTTTTCTTAATTTCCATATACATAATTAATCCTTTCTTGTTCCTTTAAAATGTCTTCCCCACTTGTAGGAACTGGAGCAACATCATTTTCTTGTGTCCCATCAAATAAATAGGCTTGAGAACGATAAGGATGATCAAGTGGCAACCATTTTCGATGTCCAAGGTAGCAAATTTTACCACCAAAATAATATGAGTGAGTGGAATGGGCACATGAAGGACAAGGTATATAACCTCTTGTACTCCAACTAGACAACATAGCGTATGCAGGGAAGTCATTTATAGTGGAGTGTAAGGCTGCTCGCATTTTAAAGTATTTTCCACTATAAGCATCAAAGGCATCAACACCATCCCATAACAATTTTAACTCATGGATTAATGGTTGCAAATACACATCAATATCAATCCCTGGACTATATTTACCGGGAACAATCAAGGACAATATGAATGATGATGGCTTCATACAAAGCCATGGTGGTAAATTATATGGAATTAAGACCATACACCAAGTACTATAATTAGAACTCATAAGACTATATGGATTGAAACCATCACTTGCTAGACCCAACCTAACAATACGAGGATCAGCGGCAAATTCTTGATATCTTTCATCAATTTTTTTCCAAGCCTCACCATCTGCTGGGTGCCGTAGAACCTTATCATCCTTTCGACCAAAATTCCATCTCATGTCCTCTGCTGTTTTAGATGACATATAAAGTCTTTTTAATCTAGGGATAAGAGGAAAGTATCGCAATACCTTAGCTGACTCACCCTTTTTACACGATTCTTTACCTTTTTCACTTGAATCACCTTCCTTCCCTTTTGCAATTTTCCACCTTGATGTATGACAAACATGACACTCATTTTTTTCTGCAAATTCACCCCAATATAACATGCAATCATTTGGACATGCATCAATTTTCTCATAACCTAATCCCAAGTCCTTAATTATATTCATGCCCTCATAGTAAGACGATGGAAACTCATTGATTGAAGGAAATGCATCTACTAAAATTTCAAGCAATTTAGTGAATGACTCAGCAGGCCAGTGGAACATACACTTAAGGTGAAACAAGTGCAAAAGAAACGATAACTTTGAGAAAGTAGTGCACCCCTCGTATAAACCGTCATAAGAAGCATCCATTAGTCTTTTATACTTGACATCTTCTTCGCTAGAGTTAGAAGATGGATTTACATCACCTACATCACAATGAAAATCAAACTCTTCTTGCATATCGTATGAACCTCCTATTTCGTGCATATCATATGAAGCCTCTTCTTGTTGCATGTTTTGGGATTCAAAAAGAGAATCTGGAATGTCATCCCTAAAGGCTTCTCTTAACAAACCACCCATATCATCTTGACCTACTACCTTTTCATGAATGGGAGTTTCTAAGGTATTGGTCCCTTCATCAACTGTAGAATGAAAAACCCCAATTCCTATACTTCTTAAAAAAACCATTACACAAAATATGTCCTACTTCCTCTATGGGTGACCATTCATTCACTTTGCATTTATTACATGGGCATCGAGTTTTCCCATCTATAAGAGTCTTCTTAGCAAGTTTAACAAAATTCATGCAACCTTTGAAATAAGCAAGTTTGCCATTGCATAAATCAATCCAACTGGTATCCATGACTACAAAAACACCAAATTACTTTCTATTTACTTTTTAATAATAAAATAAAATTACCCCGTAAAAAAAATTAAAAAAAATTACAATTCAAAAGAGGGGTAATGTTAGGGTTCATAAGCTAATGAGATCGAAGAGGAAAACTAATCGCGCGCTTTGAATTGGTACTCTGGTAGTAGTACTGTACGCGTGTAGTGTAGTGGGTTTTGTTTTAATTTCTTTTTTTTTTTTTTTTTTTTTTTTTTTTAACTTTCAAATGACCACCTATAATTTTCAGCCTAAAATTTCATTTCGCGGGCTTGAAACTACCGGGCCTCTTTTCATTACATGGGCCACATGATAATTTCGACACTTTTAATTGTCAATTCCTGCTTATGACACTAAAAACCGTCAAGGTGAGGCACTAACTACATTTTTCCTTTGACGGTCGTCCATAGTGTCGAGGCTATAGTGTCGAAATTACATGGGTTTTGTAGTAGTGCGAATGGTGGAGTGTGAGTGCAGTCACGATGGAGTGGATGCAATGCAGTGGTGTACATAACGAATTCAAATAAGTAGGTGACGCAGTTGATAGGCGATCAGGTTACTACGGTGGATGTCTAGGCGGCAGCCCGCAGGTGGATGTGGAGGTACGCCAGCAAGTCGAGATGGAGGTGGCGTCGTTTGATTGATGTATGAGAGGACGACAATTCGAGTAGTAGTAGAGCAGCGCAATAAGGAGGCAAAGCAAAAAAAAAATTGATCTGAAAAAATGAAAATTTAGGGATTTTTGGCGATTTAGAATGACAAAAAGCAGAGACCGGTTATTTCTTTGCGTTGGTCTCTGCCAAGTTTTTATTTAAAAAAATAAAATAAAAACTACCAAGAGACCTGTTTTCTAAAACAACTAGTCTCAAGCTATTTTTAATTAAATAAAAATAAAACTATAAAAATGATCTTTTGAATTTTTTTGGGACTTGTTATTAGTGATAAACGGTCTTCTTGGAACAAAGTGATCGCTTATGTAGTTAACAGGTCTTTATATTGGGTCTCTTTGGCCATTTTTGTAGTAATGGACATATATTATTATGAAACTTTTTTTTTCATATGTTACTAGAAAATTTGATCATATATAATTTATAGTCAGACCCGTTTCTGAGAATTTCGTGGCCTATGGGCGAACTTAAAAATCGAGGCTCTAATCAACTAATATATATCTATATTGTTAGGGGGTTAAAAAACATTTGGGTATGCAAAAATTAGTTTATACGGAGTACAAGCAACACTTTATTAATAATTTAATCATACATTCATACAATACATTTTATTGAAGCCACTAAAACTCAATAGCACCTAAATTCCGCTAGCCATGAAGAGTAAAAAAAAAAAAAAAATCTCAATTTCATGGCAGAGGCAACAACACCTACAACAAATATATAAGTAAATTGATTATTCACGAAAAACAAAAGAAAACAGAATATAATATAATCAGTTCATTCTATAAATCATCAATATTTATTAATTTATTATTATTGGACGAATATTACGAGTATATAGATTTGTAAAAATTAAAATAACAATTGAATAATATGAAAAAAAAAAACACATTAAATAATGAAATGAACAAGTTGAATTTATTCAATTCGTATAATCTTCATAAAATAATACATATTTGAACGTTAACACCTAAATTGAAATTAAAATATTGAAAATTAACACACAAATTAGTATGGAAATTAAATCTATCCAATTGAATAACAAAAATAATTGGGAACAAATTAAATAAGAAATTAGAAAAATTTCCCCAATGTTTAGAGCTCATTTACGAGCATCAAATCAAAAGTCGTGAACCAGAAATCCAAATTTCTAGTGACAAATTACATAAATGAGAGGAAAGTGATGAGAACTACAAAATGTGAAGAACAATTTTATTCCAATTAAGATTTAAACGTTTATGGGTGACTACTGACCAGGGGAAAATATGGAAATTATATATATTGTTAGTTTGGGAATTGATTTGGAGAATAAATTGGGAAAGAAATTAAAGAAAAGATATTAATTAGTGGAAGATTGTAAGTTGTAATCGATTATGGTTTTGGAAATTGGAATATTCAACATTCCAAGAATGAAGGCAAAATTTCCATACATTTGACTCAATGCCTGCGCATTTTCTTCTTTTGATTTTACTTGTTTTTTTCACATAATTTGGGCTTCCGAATTTGGGGCCCTGGGCAGTTGCCCCGGCTTCCCTGGTCCAAATACAGGCCTGCTTATAGTCTCTTGATTTAAATTGTATGTGATACTACTAACTATTAGATCATACAAAGAACTCTTTATCTCTAATATCTGAACAAAGATGACACATTTAACACCATTACTAAATTCTTGTAAGGAGTTGTATATATTTCGCTGCACCAATACAACTTATCCAAATATTTCCTTTTTTAATTTCGTTACGTCTTTTGATACATTTCCTATTTATGATATATATTGATTTCTGCTACTTTCTTTTTGCAATCCTCATTCACTGTTTTTTCCCTCATTTCCTTACGTACATACTTAATCTTAGGTCTAAAGAAAGAAGTTTTAAATATTTATCTTTAGTAATTTGGGAGAAATTCCATCTTTATTTCCTTGTTCATTTGATCTAGATCTTTATCTTCAATTAAATATCTAACTGACCTATAGTCATTTTGCTTTTTATTATCTTCATTATCTGACGCAAAATTTTGTCATATTTCTCTTTCCATCATGTTATTATTTTGATATCCTCCTATTATTCATTATTATTTTCATTATCTTTAGCCTACAATATTTTAATTTATTTCTTATTACTCAAAGTAATTCTTAAGCCTAAACATCTGCCCATTTGGATAGCTTAACTAAGCTTTATTAGTTTCTAGATTTATAAAAAAAATCTAAAGCCTTATCTTTTGGTATTTATAACTACCTAAGGATTTCTTACATTCATTAGCATAATATCATAATTCTCCACAAAACCAAAACTTGCATGTTCTCTTTATCTCAGGACAATATGATATTTTTCTTGAAAAATCAACTGTGCTTTCTATACTTATGCTTATAATATTTCTTCTTATAGGCGTCTTCATCTCAAACTATCAAATTTATTTTTCTTATAACTAACTTCTCTTTGTGTTATAACCTTTCTTTCGCATCCACAGTCATATGGGAAATTCCAACAAATGAAAAATTGTCTCTTTATTTGATGAGTTCCTATAACCTCTCTCCTTCTTTTCAATCCAATTTCTTGAAAAGCATTTTAATTTGTTACCTAGAGTATCCCTAGCTATGTATTTTTCTTTCAATTCTTGATATTTTCACTAATTTCTCCATTAAGAGAACTCGATTTTTTATCATAAAACATTTCGAGATTTGTCTCATTTTCACCAATTTTAATAATATACCTTGAATTCCATAATGTATTTTTCATCATAGTTCATATAACGGATGGATAAATTACTTAATTTTCTTTGGTATTCTATTCGTTCCTCGTTTAGATCCGCTCTGATTCCAATGAATTTTGACTTAGATAATGTTTCAGTGATTTTTGGGATAACCTAAAGAGGGGATATGAATTCCCTTTGGGAGACAGATTTGGAATGCAACACTCGTACGGCCTAAACACTTGTAGAATACGAATCTTCGATTTATCTAACATCTGCCTCCGATAATCAAGTTAGTGACCGGCAGCGAAAGTTTAAAGGAGAAACTAAAGAGACGAGAGAGCATATTTTGGGCGTTGTACCTTTTGTAATTGTGAAGTTTTCTTCCCATTATAGGGTATTTATAATATATGGGAGATCATACTCCTATGGTTTCATACCCTAGGAAGATTGGTTGCTCAATACGTGGTTAACACGTGTCTTGGGGTATGCTTTATGTTAGGTATTCTTCCTTTAATGGGATTTGATCTCTTCATTGTTTGATGACTCTCTTACGCCACATGTCATGCTCATATTTGACCTTATTAGTTAAGTAGGACGCATCATGTCGACTTATAATTGGGCTACTGGTCGGCCTCTGATTTGTCTCTAAAGGGGGTTAAGATACCCCAAAATAGATAGTGTATTGAAACAATAGTCTAAACATTCTAGTATGGACTCAATAGCTCTTAATGCAATATATAATCACTACCATTATACCAGTCTCTATACAGCCATATAAACTATTCTCATTGTAATTTAAGAAATTTTCAGTGTCCATGCATTCAATATTTAAGTTAAGTACATTACATACTCATACCCTTTTTCATTGGTTTGGAACATCTTGTCTATCTCTAACTTCATCAAATTTGAACTTATAACCAATTTGTCTAAAAGGTTCAAGCTAGCTACAACTACTTCTTCTTGTGTTAGGCACTTGTTTTGGCATGACCTTGACACTAAACAAGGTAGTTTTCACTGGTCTTGGTCGTGTACAACTCTAGTCCCTTCTCCTTGATACGTAGATCTTTGGATAGCATTGTTTGCATTATTAATGCTTTCTTCTTCAATCCCCTTATTATCCATTACTCTTTTTTCAACTCTAGCCAGTTATCAATCTTTTTTTGGACAACTTTTGTAGATGGAAATTCTAAATAGTCCAATTTTAATTTATTAATCACATTTATTGATATATATCTTCTTCTAAAGAAATATAATTATTTCCTTCTATTTTGTTATTAGAAGCAACCCCTTTTTATGAATTTACTTTCATAATTTTGTTTAATCGCTAGGCCAGGGTCTTCTTCTATATCATACAAAGATTGTAATTCATCAACTGTCTTCTCCTGAAGTTTCTTGCACATCTTTTGTTTCTTTGTTCTTGTCTTGTTCACTACGAAGCTTCTTAGAAAACTCTACAAAATTAAATATTAGTTTTATCCAAATTTTGTAAAGGATATTTATATATATAAAGAAATTTTTTTTTCTTTAATAATCGGATTCTACTCAGTAAACTGATGTCTTACCTCATTTGTTATAGCAAGTCCTAACTGCTTAACTCGTTCTTGGATTTTGGATGACTTCTTACTAGTGTCTAGTCGTAACCCTATTACTTTATTCTCAATTTTAATACTTTGGCTATATCTATTATCATATTTTGCTTTTAATTCACTTATTTAATCTATTAAATAAGAAAAATTTGTCTAAAAGATACTTATATGTTTTCCTTTTTGTGAAAGGGGCCTTATATGTTCAAAGTGGTGAAAAAGGTCCTTATAAGTTGCTTTTGTTGTGAGGAGGGACCTTGACATCGGAATATGACCATTGACTTTACTTTTCCGACATTGACCATCATGTAATATGCGTGTGATGTTTTAAAAATGTCTTTTCCTTCTTTTTTTTCTCTTGATTTTAAGGAAAGAGAAGGGATTTCGAGATAAAATTTGGGGATAGTAAGAGAGAAAATGTGAAAACGTGGAAAAAAAATTGAACGAAAGGGCCTTTTAAAACATCACGTGCCACGTGAGTGATGGTCAACACCGAAAAAGTAAAGTCAATGACCATATTCCGATATCAAGGTCCCTACGCACAACAAAAGTGACTTATAAGGCCTTTTTTCACCACTTTGAACATATAAAGTCCTTTTTCACAAAAAAAAAAAGTGAACATATAAGTAATTTTCTAACAAATTACTTTCTAACAAATCAATATATATATTAAAACTCAAAGACAAGCATTGTAATCTTTCCACGTGTTGTCATGTCACATACTATTACCAATCATCAATGTTTCCACACAAAAATTAATAATTTGTGAGCAATAGTATTTGAACCCATGACCTCATCTTCATTAAAGTTAAACTCTAACCATTACTTCAACAACAAATCTTATGATAATAAAGTTGTATTAAAAAGAGTTATTCATGTTCATAAATACAAAAATTTTAATAGCCAACTTATATGTGTATATTTTGACAACAATATAATTATAAAATTAATTTCATTTTTTTCCATTACTCAACCTTTAGTATAAGTTATACACTTATATTTAAGTATTAAAATGTGTAACCCAAATTTAAATAAAGGTTTTTTGTAACTAATAAATTTGTTACTAGAAGGAATTTTAATGATACGATATAATATTTAGTTACTTCATATTAATTAATTATTAACAAATGGTCGATATTGTTTTTATAAAACCACCAATGTATGTAGGTGGCTGGCATGGGCGGCTGCCGGATTGGCTAGGTGGTTGGGCTTTGGCTGGTGGGTTTTGTTCTTAATTTGTTTTTAAATTTGTTTTTAATTTTTTTAGCCAATTTATTGACACGTGTCACTTTAATAAAATAAATAAATAAATAACCCATTCAACCGGTAACCGGTATTTAGGATTGAAGAAAAAGAAGACCCCCCAAAGTTCGGATTATTCCAGAATAAATGAAAGTTGGGATTATTTTTTCTAATTTTTCCTTTTTAATATAGTATTTTTATATGCATATAATGACCCGGGGCAGCGCCCGGGCCAAAAAACTAGTTTATCATTAAATAATTAAGATTTGGACCAAATTTATTATTACTATTTGGTACATGATAATATTTAAATTCAGGTTTCTTGCACTCCCTAGAAGTCCTACATATGATTCTCTAGATATATTTGATTACTAAATGTAGCAAATTGGCTTTGATACCAAATCTACGGCTAAATACCAAACAAAATCAAAATCGACATAGCTTAATACCAATCAAAATAGTATTGGAATACCAATTTTGTAAACATCTTGATTGGTATTTTGGTACTACTGAAGTTGGTATTCTTAATTAACTATTTAGTTGGTATTGAAAACATATCTAAAACGTTGCAGGTATTCAAAGTTTGCTAGTCTTCAAAATCTCTAGTAGGTATACTCTGAGAAATTTTCTGCACTTAAGCATTTTCATAGCTTGGGGGATGAAGTACGGAAGTGCGCGGTCTAAGAGCATCCACAATGGGTGACTCAATACCCTCCCCACAATACTATCTCTTATTTATAGGAAGCTCACTATTGTGAAAGGTGATTCATGAGGTGAGAGTCCTCCCTATTTCAAGTCACCGACTGCCTCAACACACGAGCCCACTAGCAAACAAGAAGATGACAAGTGACAAATTTTTGCATTTTCATTTATTTTTTTTGCCCAAATTTATTAACATAAAACATTTATTTTAATTGTAGCGAGCTCGCTTACCATTGTGAAATAAGTAAATGAGTAACTTTTAATAGTGACTCAAGTTAGTGAAATATAATGTAGAAGAGTTAAAATTGAAGAGAGAAAATGTAAGCTACTCATTAACCAATGCCGATGCTCTAACAATTGGTTATTAGTACTCCGTATTAAAAAAAAAAAAATTTGAACAAGTGTTTTATTCAGCATGATGAAAAGCGAATAGAGATTTAGAGCGAATCACACAATAATAGAAAGAGACATAGAGAAATCATGACCAAAACATATACAATACTAAATAAACATAAGAATTTTATAAAACATTAAAAGGACTGAATTTAAACAATACATAAATGTCTTCATGGACTGAAAATAACTGGTAACCTAAGATATTGCAATGAAAATACATGCATGCATTGAAGACAATTTTATTGTTACACAAACAAACAAGCATATGATGCTATAACTCAAACAATAGAATAAGCGAGTATTCTAAACTTTAGGCCTTTGGTTAACGATTCTTTGAATGTTTTTTAGAGCATCAATAGCAACCTCAAGGTAGTGGCTAAGAGAAGGTGCAATGCCAGCAAGGGGATCAGCAAGGAGCTCTTGCTTTTCGTCGTCGGCAGCAGTTGGAAGAGGCTTGCTCGGATCCTTCTCGAATTCCTTGGCTTGCTCAAAGTATGTGTCCATACGCGGAGTTGCATAAGGACGTATATTTTCATCTTTACCTCTTGAAGCAAAACGTTGTCGGTCGTGGCAAGTCTCAGAACAACAAGCGAAAGAACGGCCTTTGTTTTTGTACGTTTCTTCTGATTGCAGAAACTTCACCATTTCATCCAACTCTTGTTTCAGTGTCTCAATCACCGAGTTTGGCTTCTTAAGGTCAATATCCTCGAGCATATTACGAGCTTTAACAGCCTTATTCAGAGCATCTTCCAAGTTGTTTTTGTCAGCTAGGGCTCTTGCTTCTTTCATAAGTTCTAGTGTTTCCACTCGTTTTATCTCTGCTTTAGTTGCGTCCGTTTGTTGAGTCACTGGTGAGTTTGATCGGGTTACACGAAAAACAGAAGGATTGGTGCTTGTTAAATTCCCAGTTTCTCCCCTGCAGTTGTCATATTTTAAATAAGATAAGCTATCTAAAACTTGCAAAAAATTCACTATATACAATATCGATCAATTATATAATCTAAGCAAACATACCTAATAGTTACGATTATTTGATAATAAACCTCAGTTGGGATTATTAAAAGTAAATCGCCAATAGTTAGGATTATTAAAGTATATTTTTCCTTAATAATTATATATTTCGTTCACCCATTGTACGGGATGATACCGACAGCAATGCATATTGGCCGAAAGTAAAGTCTCGTATTATTACGAAATAGAACCTGGCCATGAGAATACCTTCGGCCACGTGGAGAGCTGCTTACGGCCACGTAGGCACCTGCTACATATAAGGTCGGTTTGCCACCTTATGTCGTTAGGTGGCACCTGCTTGGTTCCTTCCCTATATATACCCAAGTTTATTCTCATATTAAGGTGCAATCTTTTTCTCTCTCTACATTCACTCTTTCTCTCTCTTCATACTTTCTTCTTCAGATTACTAACTTAAGCATCGGAGCGGTTATTCCAGGATAACCCCCGGGCTAGATTATCTGTGTTGACTGTGTAGGCATTACATTGGACGGTAAACCTTTACCAACCCCAAGACATCTCGGTATCGGAGCTCACACGGAACAATTGGCGCTAGAAGGAGGGGAAGGTAATAACTTCTATCGTCCAAAAATAAAGAAAAGACCTCCGACAGTCATGGAAAAAAATAATGAAACTACACCCATCCCAGAATTAGAAAACCGGGGTTATGATAGTGGTGTTTTAAAAACCAATGCCCCAGAGATAACGGTGGAGGACGAAACCCACCTTCTCCATAAGGATACCTTAAACATACCGCTAACACCTGAAAGAACCCAGGCACCAACCCCGGATCCCTTGGGAGAATTTACCCCAGAAGAGTTGGAGATAACGGCTAAGGTCATGCGAGCGATGTCTCGGAAGAGGAAGGAAGCCGAGATCGCAGCCATGAAGGAACCTCAGGGTAAGATGACAGAACCCATAATCATCAACCTCGAGGATCAGTTCAACGAAGTTGGACGGCAACATCAGTCACGACCACCGCCGCAAGAGATGGCAATACCCTCTGAACGACAGGTCACACGAACCGCGCAGAGGGGGGAGTCAGAATCATACCGACAGGAGGCCAGCAGTGGCCTCCAAGGTATCCAGCACGAACTATTGTCCACCCGAGGACATCCCCTTTTATGCAAGAGGTACTCGATTAGCAAATGGAAAAAATAAAAATGCCGACATGCACCTACGACGGCAAGGGAGATCCTAAGAGATATATCGCGGCCTTTGAAAGCCATATGTTGTTGTACACCGACACCGACGCCGTGTGGTGTAAAGTCTTCCCAACGACGCTGGTGGGGGCAGCTTCGGACTGGTTCACCAATCTCCCTCCTAGATCCATTGATAGCTTCGACACCCTTGTCGAATTGTTTACAAGCCAGTATATAAGCAACAGCGCACGACAAAGAACCTCAGGGGAACTTATGTCTGTTAGGCAGAGGAAGGACGAATCACTGAGATATTTCGTCCGACGTTTTAATAATGAAGCCAACACTATACTAAAGTTACAGCAAGAGATAGTCGTCATGGCCCTGATGAGTGGTTTAATCGACAGCGATTTTAAGAGGTACATGGCACGAAAGTCCTTTCCCAACCTCGGCATAGCGTTTAACAAGGCTCATGAATACATCAAAAGTGAAGAACTTTTGAGAGCAGGCAATCAGGTAACATTGACAGAGCCGTCTCGGCGGCAAAACGTTTGCTCGTCACCTGAGACCCACGTGGGTGGGAGTAGTAGACAAAACCAGCAAAAAGCAAACAGGCCCGTTAGAGGTTTGGGGCGATATAGTAGTTATACTCAGCTGAACACGCCAAGGGCCGCCATCTACTCGATAAATCAACACAGGGAAGAGTGGAACCGGCCGGCCCCAATGATAACGAAAGGTCGAGATTTAAAGAAGTACTGCATGTTTCATAAAGATGTCGACCATTATACCGAGGAATGTGTCCAACTGAAGGAAAACATTGAGGACCTTATTAGAAAGGGTCATTTATCTCAATACCGGTCTCAGGCAGGAGCAAGTCGACAACCACCACCGTTAGCAAGACAGACAGAGTATCGGAAACAGGGCGACTCGTCAGTACAGGATGATGCTTACCGACAGGGTCATGCAGATAGTTACCGACAAGGTTCAGCCCCTCAGGGGCGAAAAATTACCATAGAGGTAATTTCCGGAGGACCGGTGCATGGGGGTTCTGTTAGCGACGCAAAGAAAAGTCTATCGGAATACAAACACATGATAAACGCGTTAGGGGTGGATGAGCGGCCCCGACCAAATGCAATCCCTTCCGTCTCCTTCTCGGAGGATGATTCAAGGGGAATAGTTTTTCCCCATGACGACCCTCTGGTATTGATATTGGCAATAAATGGGTGCGACGTCAAGCGCACGTTAGTAGATGGGGGAAGTTCCGCAAATATCTTGTTCTCAAGAGTATTCGACGTCATGATGATAGATCGAAAATACCTAACGCCGGTGTCATACCCGGTTATCGATTTTAATGGTTCAACGGTCATACCTAAAGGTAGTATAGTCTTACCAGTCCGAATTGGGGAAGGATCAAGGGCACGGGATGTGATGACTGAATTCCTAATTGTGGACGTGCCGTCAGCGTGCAATGTCATTATTGGTAGACTGTTAATTCATGATGTACATGCGGTAGTATCGACATATCATCTCACGATGGTGTATGTATCAAATATTGATAAAACAGAACGTGTCAGAGGGAGCCAAACAATGGCAAGAGAATGCTACGTGTCGGCACTGAAGCATCCTTGTCGACAAATTCCCACGAATCAGCATGCTCAGAAAAGGGAGCGATCCTCGCTTGCCCAAGATTTGGCAATGGCAAACTTTGATACAAGGCCTATAACTATCCCAAGACCGCTGCCAGGAGGAGAAACTATTAATGTTGAATTGCAACCAGGAGTTGCGAGTCGTACAGTAAAGATCGGGTCCGATATAAACACCGACATGCAATGCTACTTGATTGAACTACTAAGGGAGAATGCTGACGTTTTCGCCTTCTCGGCCGATGAAATGTCGGGGATTCACCCTAGCGTGATGGTTCACAAACTAAATGTGGACAGACGAGCAAGGCCGATAAGATAGAAGAAGAGAAATTTCTCCACGGAAAAAATTGAAGCGATATAGGCAGAAGTGAACAAGTTGTTAGCAGTAGGTTTTATAGAGCCATGCACATACCCAGAATGGTTGGCCAATGTTGTAATGGTCAGAAAGCCGTCAGGAAAGTGGAGAATGTGCGTTGACTTCACAGATTTAAACAAGGCCTGTCCAAAAGACTGCTATCCACTGCCGAGAATTGATCGCCTGGTTGACTCTACATCAGGCCACGCCCTCTTGAGTTTTATGGATGCTTTTTCTGGATATCATCAAGTCAGCCTCTATCAACCAGATCGAAACAAAGCAGCGTTTATCACCGATGCTGGAGTCTACTGCTATAAGGCCATGCCTTTCGGATTGAGAAATGTAGGGGCAACGTACCAAAAATTGGTGGACAAGGTTTTTGCAAGCCAAAAGGGACGGAATGTCGAAGTCTATGTCGACGATTCCATCGTGAAAAGCCGTCTGGCCACAGATCATATTGAAGACTTAAGAGAGACTTTCGATACGCTTCGACGATATCGAATGAAATTAAACCCTGAGAAGTGCGTGTTCGGAGTAAAATCGGGAAAAAATTCCTGGGCTTTATGGTTAGCGAAAGGGGAATCGATGCTAATCCCGACAAAATTGAGGCTATCCTTAGCCTACCACAGCCGAAATCCATTAAAGACATACAAAAGTTAACGGGCCGAATGGCAGCGTTAACAAGATTCATCAGCAAATCTACCGACAAGGCATTGCTGTTTTTTGTTGTTTTACGCCAAAACAAAATTTTTGTTTGGGGACCAGAACAGAGCAAAGCACTAGAGGCCGTTAAAAACCATCTACGTTCATTACCTACAATTGCTAGACCAGAAATGGGAGACATTGCAGCTCTACATTTCGGCATCCCCGAAAACGGTGGCGGCTGTTTTATTAGTGGAGCGTAAAAAATTACAGACGCCTATATACTTTGTGAGTCATGTGCTAAATGCCGCGGAACGAAGGTACCCTCTAGTAGAAAAAATAGCGTATGCGGTAGTCATAGCGGCGATAAAATTGCGACCATACTTTGATGCGCATACCATTGAAATTCTAACAAATCAACCGTTAGAAAAATCCCTTCAGAAAATGGAAACCTCTGGTCGTCTGCTGAAATGGACAATAGAATTATCGGAATATGCACTGATTAATAAACCGAGACTGTCAATTAAAGCCCAGGCTTTGTCGGACTTCATAGTAGAAACTTCTTACACGGAATAGGAAGTTGAGATAGGCACATGGAAGATATCGGTTGACGGATCATGCTCAACTGGGTCTGGTGCCGGTGTCATCATGACTTCCCCACAAGGAGATGTATTCGAATATGCAATCCGGTTCAAATTCAAGGCCTCCAATAATGAAGCCGAATATGAAGCGGCACTAACAGGAGTTCAGTTATGCATAGCGGCAGATGCAAAGAGAATAGATTGTCGACGGATTCGCAGTTGGTAGCTAGCCATTTCAGTGGTGAGTATGAGGCTCGTGAACCGACAATGATTGCATACTTAACTAAAATTAAAAGTGTGACAACTGCTCTCGACCACTTTGTAATCAACCTGATACCTCGAGGCCAAAATACTCAAGCAGATGCATTGGCAAAGCTTGCAAGTTCTAGCCCGAATGACTTAGAGCGCACAGTAATGGTCGAAGTTTTAAAGCAAAAAAGTATAAATGAAGAGACACATAAACGAATACATTGTGTATCACAAGGCCGTGAATGGTATGAAGATATTAGCCTACAAAATTCAAGGGGTACTCCTCACAGCTAAGACCGAGGCACAAAAAGTCAAAAAAGATAGCGTCTGCTTTGTTATTATCCAGGGAATGTTATATAAAAGAGGTTTCTCGTTGCCGTTAAGAAGTTGTTTAACGGCATATGAATCCGCAAGATTAATAGAAGAAATACATGAGGGTGATTGCGAAAATCACTTAGGGGGCCGATCGATGTCGTTAGAAGCGATGAAAAGGGGATACTACTGGCCGACGATGAATACGGACGCTACAGCTTACGCCAAAAAATGTGATAAATGCCAGAAATTTGGACCAGTGATAAATCAGCCACCAAACGACTTAACTCCTATCCTTAACCCAATTCCGTTTGCACAATGGGGTATGGATATTGTCGGCCCATTCACCTCAGCCACCGGGGGGCGTAAATTTTTGATAGTCGGGATAGACTATTTCACAAAATGGATAGAAGCAGAGCCTGTGGTGAAGATAACGGCAAACGAGGTAAAGAAGTTTATCTGGAAAAACATCTTTACCAAATTTGGATTACCGATAGCAATGGTGTTCGATCACGGTTCTCAATTCGACTGCAACCCAGTAAAAAGCTTCCTAAGCATATACAAGGTAAAATTTGCTTACGCTGCAGTTTTCCATCCTCAATCTAACGGCCAAGCGGAAGCCGCTAATAAGCAGATTTTAAATGCCCTAAAGAAGAAAATCGAAGATTCTAAAGGCCTGTGGGCGGATTTAATACCGGAAATATTATGGGCTAACAGGACGACAACCAAAGAAACAACGGGAGAGTCGCCCTTCAATCTAGCTTTCGGATCGGAAGCAGTATTTCCTACAGAGGTAGGATTACCAACATTTCGAATCCAACACTTTTGCGAAGATCAAAACGACCTCCTATTAAGGCAGCGATTGGACTTTCTACTGGAAATAAGACTAATGGCTTCCATTAAATCTGCAGCTTACAAAAACAGAATGAGCCAAGCTTATAATAAGCGCGTCAACCACAGGCCGTTGGAAGATAGAGACCTAGTTTTGCGTAGAACGTAAACAACTGGAAAGGGAAACGCCGATGGTAAGTTCACGGCCAATTGGGAAGGACACTACCAAATATATGAAACAATACGCCAGGGATCTTACCGTCTTATGACACTGGAAGGAGTCCAGTCAAAGAATGTCTGGAACGCAGCTGTTTTGAAAAAATACTATATTTAGTTATGAATTAGTACTGGTAATTAATTTTGTAATAAGTACAATATCGGCATAGCTAGTACAATAACATTTTGTATATTGTGTTCCTTATAGGGCTAATTTGTACGCAAATTTTAATTTGGCTAAAAGCCGTTAATAAGAACGCAATACTCGGTAATGGCAAATGGGACCATCTGCTTACTTTCGATATGCAAGTGTAGGCAGCCTAGCTAGCTGTTACACCCATTCAAGTAATGAGATGGTTGGATAACTAATGCGCCTAAAGGCGAGTTGAATGGATAGTCTGATCCACTTCCATTACTCGGTCCACCAAAGGTCGCAGATACAAGCACAGAATGGTCGATGTAAAACTTTGCGAGAAAATGAAGCAAAGGATTAACAAAAACGGCATCAGTTTTTACAAAGCGGTAAAATACACGCTCAGTAAAACTAGAAAGTGTACGACAAAAGGCCGATAGTAATGAACATTCAAAATAATGTACTTACACTATCCGATATGTTAAGAAAACAACCATGTTCTTTAAGAAAGGAAACACTAGCATACATCAAGACAAAAAATGTTTTTTAAAATATGGACAGGAGAACAAGAGCCACATGACGAAACCGGCGATAACAGAGTTAAACTTTATTTATCAGCTGCTGACGACTCCTCTGCAATATCTTCACAAGGAGGAGTGGCGAGAAGGGCATCGTCAAAATCTTCATCAGGAAGACTGCGGGGGTCAAGGTTCTTCACGGTCTCCAAAGCAGGAGGAGTCTCAAAGTATGACTCCTCATAGCTGGTAGGAGAGTGATGGCTGTCAGCTCCGTAAGCATCCTCCACCGTTTTCCACCTATCCTCGCCCTAGTTCTCGGCCTTACAAACACACCGATGAGCAGCCACCCAACCGCCGGTATAGCAATCAATCAGCTTGTCCCTATATAAATCAGACTTCAGAAACTGATTAACGGCCCGCCGTTTGACAAGAGGCCTTTCCAACCGAGCAAGTCGGAGTTCATCCTCGGCCCTTCACTTATCTGCACTTTCGGCCTCTAATTTCTTTTGCAACTCCTCAATCTGGGCCTTCAGCTGTGTTTGCTATTCAAGCTGTTCTCGTACTTTGTTATAGTCGGCCAGCTCTTCCTCCAACTTACCGAGCCTGTTTTTATAACCATCAATCTCAGCTTTGTGAGCTTGGCGCTCCTCGTCGGCCTTCTTAAGAACTGACTCAGCCTTGTCGGCCTGACGTTGGTAGTGTTATACATATGCACGACACCGACTGCGGAGTTGACAGTCTACCAAAAAGAATAGTCATTACCGGCAGATAAGCATAATTAGTATGTAAAATAAAAAAATATATATATATAATAATGATGAAATATACAAAGAGGAAAAATAACGGAAGTAAATTAATAAATTAACGTTTGCACTAATGTAATACAAATCGTTAAACACATACCCTGAGGATATCATTCATCATCTGGCCGCAAGGAGCCGCAAAACGGCCACTAGGTCTATCAGCAGGAGTTGGAAGATCTTTCAAGCATTCTCCACCCCAGACTGCCGCCAGATGAAGGGTCATCAGCATACACCGACTCGCCCCTATTCACGGTAAGAGATGGGCGCCAAGGCTCACTGGCAGTACCAGTTGGGAAGTCATGGAGTTCATCCGAAACCTCTTCCGGAATCTTCACATGGGGAACCTCAATAAAGTCCGACACAGAAGCCGGCACGAAAGCGGTCGGGCCGGCTGACCCAGATAAAATGGTGCTGAAAAAAGGAATTTCTCTTGATATAGAGATTACCTTCTCGGTCTCAGTCGTAATGGGTGGAGGACGCGGTATTCTAGTACCGTGAGCCTCAGACTCAGCACCGATAACATCCTCCTCTAGGTTTACAATCACCCTGGTCTCGGCAGTTGAATCTTTGGCTTGGTCGGCTGGTTGATCAGGAGCTGAAGTAGACTTCCGCTTCTTGGCCTGTTCTCGATCACTGGCGGAGTTCGCCCTTTTTGATCTACCAGCCCCACCACCTCTCCACCTCTCCTGAGAGGAAGTACAAACTGACCTTCTGCCGATTTGATCTTTTTTGCTTCTCTATTTTCCTTTTTGTGAACGAGTGGCGAATTTGGGAAGGGTATCAAACTTGTCCTTTGGGTTTGGGGGACACTGTCGTTTTATGCTGCCATCAGGATGCAAACCCAACTTCTCGTTATCTAGCTTCTCAGGGCCTGGTAAAGAAGACAAAAAGGTAATGTCAGCATAAATACGTAATCGAGTAGGGTAGTGGACTCTAATTGTATACTAACAGACACTAAGAACAGTGCATAGCTTAGACAGGACAACAATCATAAATAGTGACAAACGAAAATACTACATAAAGTAATAATAATAATTAAAGGAAGAAAGGGGATTAATAATCACAATTAAAGTAACTAATTAAAATCATACCATATGCATCAGTATGGCAGAGACCGATATGAGAGAGGGGAGCGTTGCCCAAAATATAATTACAGTTGGACAGCCACTCCCTAGGAACAACCTTAATCTGTTTACCTTCATTAACATACATACAATCAAAGTACCGAAAAGCCTTTCGTTCAAGAATACCTAGCTTCCTATCTCTAATAGTATCAAAGTTAGTATGAGGAAGATAAAAGGCTCTTCGCACAGCGCAGGTGTCAGGAACCTTAACAAAATAAAATTGTTTTTGCCAGTTTTTGCAGCTGGTCAATTTCGGCCATACTGTAAGCTTACCGTTAACAGTATACAAAGACCACCAGCCTGGAGATTGGCTGTCTTTTTTCAGCCGATGAAGTTTGCAAATCAAATTCAAAGTTAACGGAAAGTCCGTATATATCATGACCCAAACTAGTGACACAACATTACGAATGGTTGTCGGTGTCAATTGTGCAATACATACATTCCAAGCCCTAAATATTTTTTCAATAAAAGGATGAAGTGGTAAACGTAGGCCAAACTTAAAATGTTTAGCATAAACAGCAATATGCCCTTCTGGGCAATCAACAATGGTGCTACCAGACTCTGGCAGCGTAAGAACATAATCGTCAGGAAGACGGAAAAATCTTTTGCCAATGCTGCAATAGTTCTTCTCAGCAGCTGTTTTTAACCAAGTATCATCAACTGTTACCTTAGTAACCTTGATATCATCAGAGAGCTGTAATGGTTGCCGATAAACAGCATCGTCATCTTCTGAGTTATAGCCCTCGTCAAGACTTTCCTCGGCAATTACTTGTTCACCAATATTGATGTCCTCGTTAATTTCCTCGTCAATTTCGCTGCTCATATCGGCTTCCTCATCTTCTTCACCTGCTTCATCTCCTTCCTCCTGACTGCTACCCTCTTCTTCACTCTCTTCTCTGTCAGAGTCTATGCTTCGCTCGACAGATGCAACATCCTCAGCTCGAACATCGGACCCTTGGGTCTCGGCCTCTTCTACCAGTTCTTTCTCAGGACGTCTAAGAGAACTTTCGGCCTGATCAGAACCGACATTTGGGAACTTGGATCTTGGCATTTCTGAATTTTTAATACTTATTTTCCCAAGATTAGAACCGTACTCGTCAATAAGAATATCAGATTCACTTTCGTCAAGTATGCTGATGGATTCAACCTCCACAATATCAACGTCTTCTAATAAAGCAGTACCAACAGGCCAAGAAAGCTTCTCAGATTCCTTCTCTAGCGCTGAGGACAAGTGTGTAAACGGGTCAGCCACACTGGCTTTACCCGTAATATAATTTTTTACAAATTCAGGCATAAACACACAAGATACCAGGCCAAAACAACTAAAAACCCACTATACACGCATACGAAGCACACCAGAAATTCGAAATACTAAATACAGGACAAATAGTTTGAGTTTTTTACCTCTGTAAGGCACTAGTCAAGCAGCTGAAACTATAGAAAGGGAAAATGGCCGCCGCTTCAACAAAATTTAAAGAAGTACCCTAGTTTGCGATTTAGAGACGACGAGAAATATGATGAAATTTTTTGCTAGAACTATTTCGCTATTTTCTTCGAAAAACCTAGTAAATAAAAAAGAACCCGTTCATTTTCTCAATTTGTATATATATACATATTAAGTAAAGTAACCTTTGGTGATTTGACATTTATTGCATGATATCTTACGGTGGTAAATGCGACACATCGTTACACGCCTGTTTACTCTAGCAACACGTGTCCCACTACAAATTCTAGAGATTTCCCGCCAATGACCAATTTGTATTATTACCAAAAATAAAAAAAAAACATACAACCGTATTTTTTAATTTTCAAATTTCAAAAATCTTTTCTAATTGATCAAAGTACTATCGATACTTAGCTCACTTTGGGGGCAAATCGGAGATTTTTTATTATTAAGTCCGCTTTTTAATTGACCAAAGTACTATCGGTACTTAGCTCACTTTGGGGGCAAATCGGAGATTTTTACTCACTTAACCGAAACCTAAGAGTGAAAACATCGGTTTTACCGACATCCTCACTTAGGGGGCTAGTTGTACGGGATGATACCGACAGTAATGCATATTGGCCGAAAGTAAAGTCTCGTATTATTACCAAATAGAACCTGACCATGAGAATACCTTCAGCCACGTGGAGAGCTGCTTACGGCCACGTATGCACTTGCTACATATAAGGTTGGTTTGCCACCTTATGTCGTTAGGTGGCACCTGCTTGGTTCCTTCCCTATATATACCCAAGTTTATTCTCATATTAAGGTACAATCTTTTTCTCTCTCTACATTCACTCTTTCTCTCTCTTCATACTTTCTTCTTCAGATTACTAACTTAAGCATCGGAGCGGTTATTCCCGAATAACCCCCGGGCTAGATTATCTGTGTTGACTGTGTAGGCATTACATTGGACGGCAAACCTTTACCAACCCCATTAAAAACGGTTAACTTTATTTGTTGTAGTACATGTGTGACTATGTGAGTATGTGATATGTTTGGCCCTTATGCATTGTATGTACGGCGACAGGGGGAGGATAAGGAAATTCTTACCCAAGTTGTCTCTAATGAAAATTGATGCTATAATCTCATGATTGTTATATTACTCCACCAAGCTAAATACTTCTTAATAACTAAGTCTCATATCCAACGATAGAGTAATTAAATAGATTATTTACCTGTATGTACATACGATCTTGAGCACATCGAGATCAACCTCCTTAGTAACTTTAGGGAGAAGAAGGTCAACCAAAACTGAGCGTATCTCAAATTGATAGAGATCGCCGAATGAAACAGTTACAGAGCCGGTTGCATCATCGGTTGATTGTGGATAGTTTCCTGCAAATACCTTAATGATTTTAGTTTTTACCTTCTCTCTCCTACTCACTTTATCTTCGAGTGGCCTTAGGATTAGCTTCACTTCTTGAACTAGTACACTGAGTAGCCCAGCCAAACATTGGAAGAACGCAATGCTCAAATCTCCTGGATTTGCCAAAGAGAATGTCCCTCCATTACTATTCTTTGCGACTGCATTGAGTACCTACTCAAAAAACAATGTATTGATATTAACTCAAAGTGGAGTATATAAGTAAAAGTGTTGCAAGTAATTAAAAAAATTATAAATAAATAAATAACAGCGCAGGAAGTACTTAAAAGTTCAATTATATGATATTTGAATCAAAACTGAGCATATCTCATATTTCTAGGTCTTAACCATCAGCTTAAACTTTTGATTGAGATTATCCAATAACATTCAAAGTGGAGTATATATGAATAGAGCATAAGTATTAGTAAAAGTGTTGCAAGTAATTAAAATAAATAGTTACAATGACTTACTCGTGAGTCATACTCTTCACCGGATCCAAAACCGAAAGTAAAGACAGGAAATTGATCAATGGAAATGAGGGCGGCATCACCACCCGCATTTTGCATACCATCAGACATCAACATAACTGCCCCAGAACGCCGAGTTGTGAATTTGGGGTCGCTGAGAACTTTTAGTGCCGTCTGCAGTCCAGCGCTGATGTTGGTACCGCCGTTTGCTACAAGATTCTGGACGAGAAAATCGATTTCTTCTCGAGCATTAGGAGTTATTTGACGCAACTTGCATTTCCTTTCAGCATTCGATGCAAAGATGACAACTGATAAACGATCAGATGGGCTTAGTTTCCTTAACACAAATTGCATTGCTCGTTTCATTTCAACCAACTTTGCTCCCTGCATACTCCCGCTAACGTCTAAGACCATCACGATATCTGCTCCTAGTCTACTGTTGCTTGCTCCTCGTCCTGAAAGCTCTAGTAAGAGTTTGTAGTTGGTTTCTTCAAGTGGCACTTCTGGTTCATTATCGAATTTCAATGGCACCTTTCCAACATCATTTGCTCCACCTATGTCACCTAGTGAACAATTTTACAAATGTTGTATCAGTATGTACTGTGATAACAGGGTTGAAATTTTATTTTAGAGAAATTTGTGAAAAAAGATCTTTTAAGTAGTCGACTTTGTTTAAAAGAACTTTTTACGTAAAAAGTTGTGAAAAAAACACCTTGTAAATTGTATATTTTTTTAGAAGGTACTTGACTGAGTTTTCTGGGTGATGAACGCAGGAACTTCGGCATTGACTTAAATAGTTAAACCATGTCACATAACTTTTAAAAAAAAATAATAAAAAATAACTAAAATTTTCGAATCCATGTGACTTAGAGTATCGACCACCGAAGTCCATTCCATTCGAATTCGAATTCCCACCTAAAACGATTCAATTTTTGACTAACTAGTTTGGATCCAATTCGAATATCATTGTATAATTATTAATTAATTAGAGAAATGAAATGAAATAATGTGGCTTGAATAATTTGATATATGTAAACCTTGTGACAGAACATATGATAGTAAAAGCAAAACTCGTCTCGACTATGTTGCAATCGAAATTGGCATTGCCCCCAAGATTTAGCATCGATTCCGTCCTTTTATTGTCTACGTACTTATAAAAAAAAAAAGGAAATACAGAAATTCACAATATGCTCAGAAAAATTAATTTAAAGCGACAATGCTCGCATCAGGATACTCCGTTCTAGCCAAAACACAAGTACTTAAAATTTTGAAAACTTACATTTACACAAGGCAAAACTTTTTATCCCAACATTTACTACCTCCTTTAACTTTTAATTGTAACTTTGAAATATTTTATATTTCACAAATAATACCCAAAATTACACCTAAAAGTTAACTGAGCTAGTAGAACAATACAATATAAAACAAGCAAGCATCCACCTTTCCCTGACATTATATCCAACAATAAAATCACCTACTATAATTCACACTAACTTCCTCTTCTTTTTTTTTTTTTTTTTTTTTTTTGAACCAACTTCCTCAATTTTATTCTTATTATTATTATTAATTTATTATGCAGTAAACAAAAGGTAAACAGAATGGAAGCACTATGTAGTTTATTTTTCCTAAACATCCATTTATAAAATTATATGTTTTTGTAAAGAAGTCCTAAACATGAAACACACTAAAAAAATAAAAAAAAAAAAAAAAAATTCTAGATTCGCTTCCTTGTTGATGGAAAATTGACATGAGTATAACAAGTTACCAACGAGAAGATTCCATGTACTGTATATACCAACCACATATATATAAAGAACGTATGTAATAAAAACTGTGAAAATCTAGCTGTCTAATTGATATGAGTTCCGATCCAATTGAATAATTCTACTTTAATCGTCAATCAAAATAAATAATTTTAATCTTTCAAAAAACATTAAATTAAAGAGAAACCAAATGCGGATTAATTTAACATGTACCTGAGTTATCTTGATCAACGAGGATCTGCTCATCATCATCGTATTTCGGGTTAGTCATTTTGGTGTAGGAAGAACACTCAATTATTTTACTCAATACTTGTTTTATGTAGTACTCTCTGTCGCATATCTTCAGTATTTATAATAGTATTTCAAAATATTTATATAGTGATTATTTTTTGGTTTCAAAAAAATATAGTAATTATTTTATTTGTCATTTGTCGTTTACCCTGGTCCCACAACCTTTTTCTTTTTTTCTTTTTTGATATATCTCAGTTTTACCATATACCGTATGTAATATCTTGTGAACTGTTAAACATCGCCCGCAAATTCCTACATAAAGCCCACAAAATAAGAGTGAAATTACACTTTTGCCCTCATACTAAAAAACACACAATTTCTCTCTCTACTCTCTACTTCCACTTTCTCTCTCTAAATTATTTCCAGAGCTATGTCGAGGCGGCCCGGCAAGGAAGTGGCGGCACCGGCGGTGGGCGGAAGGCGGTTTGCCGGCCAGAAGGTAATTTTTTTAATTTTTATAATTTTTTTTTTAAAAAAAAAACCTCCGGCGACGGTGGGGCGCCAAGGCGAGACGCCATCACCACAGAGGAAGCGCCTAGGCAAGACGCCCGTACGGTGGTGGCGGCGCCTAGCCCAGACGCCACTACCACGGCGGCGGCGCAGAGGCTAGGCGCCACGGCCGTGGTATTGGCGTCTGGGCTAGGCGCCGCCACCACCGTACGGGCGTCTTGCCTAGGCGCCTCCTTCCTTTTTATTTTTTTTAATTTTTTTTTTTGTTTTTTTTTTAATTTTAAATTTTATTTTCGAATTTTTTTTTTTTTTTTTTTTTTAATAAATTTGTTTTTCTTTTTTTTAAATTGTATGTTCCCTTTTTTTTTTATCTTTTTTTTTTAATTTTGTTTTTTTATTTGTTTTAATTTTATGTTCTATTTTTTTTGTTAAAAAAAAAATTGTATCTGGTTTTAATTTTTAATTTTATGTTCCTATGTATTTTTTTTTTTTTTTTTGAATTATATTTTTGTATGTAAAAAAATTATAAGTTCCCTTTTTTTTTTATAAATTTTCTTTAAAATTTTGATGTTCTTCTTTTTTTAAGTTTTTGCAATTTTAAATTTTTTAAGTTTTGTTAGTTTTTTGTTTTTGGTTTTTTCTTTGCATTTTTGATTTTTTGTTTTTGTTTATGTTTTTCATTTTTTAGTTTGTTGTTTATATTTTTTGTTTTTGGTTATATATTTTGTTTTTGGTATATTGTTTTGTTCATATTTATATTTTGTTTTTATGTTTATATGTATATTGTCTTGTATATATTTATATTTTTTATGTTTATAATTTTATTTCCGTGACTTGTTTATTTGCTTTTGTGTTTATTTTCGACTTTTTTTAATTTGTTTTCGTTATTATGTTTCGTTATTTACTTGGAGTTAGGCATCGCAATTTAGACCTGGTGCGGGGAAGAGTATTGACGCCGTGAGGAGTACGATCTACTCAATGGAGAGCTCGGGGCCCAGACACGTTAGATCCCGTGGTATTTCGGCCTCGGCCCGCAGAGAACGGGTGCACTGTTCTGCGGACGATCAAGATGATGATGATGATGATGAGGAGGAGGAGGAGGAGGTCGAGGAGGAGGAGGTCGAGGACGAGGATGATGCAGATGAGGATGTCGACGATCAGAGTGGACCATATGATGATTACGGTCCATTCAGTCAGAGGCTTGATGATACGTATGAGACGCATAGGGTAGATGTGCGTAAGGGTCGAGATGGTAGGTTTGTTAGTAGATCTGGCACATCATCTGCGTCCACTGTGTCTGCGGGTAGCAGAAAACGGTCGAGGGCCGTTAATGATTCTTGGATGGTGAGGGGTGAGGTGGCCGGGGGACCTATAGACGGGAGTGTGATTCCTAGCTTTTTAGGACACATCGCTACCCGTATTTGGGAGGACCAGGAGAGGGCTTTGGATACAGGCATTTTGAAATGCCAAACCCGGGAAAAGACTTGTAGGTTTTTGTGTAGCTGGGCTGATGCTTGGCCGGAGGAGAGCGAGATGGTCGGGCGATTGAGGGCCACTAGAGTGAGTCACCTTCCTGCCACCATGCACGACAGGATTGACTGGACGCTGATCACGGCTTTCGTTGAGCGATGGCAGCCGGATACGAACTCGTTCCACCTTCCGTTCGGTGAGATGACGATCATGTTGCATGACGTCGAGGCCATCCTTGGGATTCCCGTGGAGGGAAACCGAGCATCTGTCGTCACTGATGCGGATCAGGCAGATTTACTAGCGGAGCTGTTGGCGGTGGATAGGGCTGCGCTGTACACATCGGCACTTGGTGTGTGGGATCACGGCGGCGTTAAGATCGCAGCCGTCTTGCAGCGATGTTTGCACCCTACGGCACGTAGGACGCAGGACACACAGCTGGCTGCATATGTTTTTCTTCTTCTCGGGTGTACCTTGTTTCCGGATAAGAGCGGGAACAAGCTCAGGCCACGCGACATAGTTGACGCGTGTGAGCCCGACAGAGTAGGCCAGTTTTCTTGGGGGTCGGCTACGCTGGCGTATCTGTATCGCCAGTTAGGATTCTCGAGCCGGGCTGATGCAGCAGGTATCACTGGATGTCTGACGTTGTTACAGACCTGGATATACGAGTATTTTCCTGCGTTTCGACCACACCGCGACCCGGTTCCCATTGGTGATGGCCAGCCACGTGCCTGTGCGTGGAGTCCGCGTGTCGAGAAGAAGTCCGTTGACCGCCTGCGCTCCATACGGTTATCGCTTGACAGGATGTCCCCCTTAGAGGTACAGTGATTAAATTATTTCTACTTTTACAATCTGATGCTTTATTTTATGACTGTTACTGATTTTAAATAATGTGCAGGTGAACTGGATGCCTTTCGGCCAGAACCCTAGTAATAGGGTACCCAAGACCCTCTACACTGGACTGATTCAGTATCGCGAGATCGTAGAGGCGTACATGCCGCAGCGCTGTCTTCGCCAGCTTGGATTTGTCCAAGTTGTCCCACCTCCACCGGCATGGCCCAGTAAGGCGGTACGATCTGCGTCGTCGAAGGAGTACGTCGTCCAATGGCCGTCAAACATGATATCCATGTGGGAGCAGTTTCCGATGGTTGCCCGCCTATGGACGGCGGAGCTGCAGCGGCCGCCAAGTGGGGTGACTGCCATGTGTGACCAGCACTACATGGAATGGTACATCCGACACTCGCACCCGAGGTTGATCAAAGACATCGACGACGCAGATGATGACGATGTGCCACCTGCCACTGCCTCTTATGCGGTACGTCTCATCTTTTATTTGTTGTTCTCTTATTTTAATATATATATGTATAATACGTCGTTTCATGTTTTTTGTTTTGTGTAGTGGATGGGCAAGATTATGCAGTTGGGACACCGACTTTTTGAGGAAAGGGACTGCATGACGAGTGCATCAGTCAGAGCTGTTATTGACGATCTGGAACGGACCCTTGAGCAGTGGCAGTGGGCGTCACAGAGGGATTACTGATATTTGAAATTAGACATTATCTTTTTAGTTTGTAATATTTGAAATTATTGTTCTTAGTTTTTAAAATTCAATATTATCTTTTTAGTTTGTAATATTTGAAATTATTGTTGTTAGTTTTTAAAATGAAACATTATCTTTTAAAAATGAACACATAGAAATGACATAGTATTGACAATACAAGGCCTCATAGTAAAAGGTAGGTGTACATCAACAAAAACTACATGGCAATTAAATTGTTCCACTGTTGCACGCGAGCATGGTACAAAGCATCCCAACCCTCCACGCTTGCTCTACGAATTTCATACCACTTCGGTATGATATTTGGGACCGGAAAATCGGGTGACATGTCTAATCGGATAAAATGTTTGTATGACGGCCCAAGAAATCCAATAGCAACGTCCCTTACCGGTCTGGTGACGGTCTCGCGCGAACACCAGGGCAGAACCGTTGTACATGGATAATAGGCTCGACTATGTAAACCAAGGCCGAAATGCATGACTGCACACTTGTAGATGTTTGCAACGGCAAAGAGATCAAGTGGCGCATCGAACCAATGATTTTGACCGCAAGGTCCCCCTCCCCACCGGATACGCTGCAGAGACCTATCCAAGTCCTCGCCGTACACATGGCCATACACATCTCGGTTTGATGCGATTTCACTGTACATCAACTGCCGCACTAAACCGTAGTTGTCTTCACCCATTTGAAACACATCCGCCACAACCCGAAATCCGCAGTTACCATCTGCAATGACATCATTCCACCCGTCCAAGAATGGCATCATGATATTAGGGATCCTGTCCTTATATGGAAAATGTTCAATGTCCATTCTCCCTGTTACACACATCAATAAACACAATAAACAAGTCAACAGTAAACTAATCAAACAGTCAACAAAAGAAATTGAAGTCGAATGTCTTACCGGTGCCGGGCATATTCACCGACGACGATGATTGGCTGCCACTTGATGAGGATGTACGACCACGGCCACGACCACGGCCACGACCGCGAATGTACTCAAACGCACTCTTGTTCCGCCGTGGTTGTCGACCCCTAGGTCGCTCGACCCCTTCCGGTTCCTCGGTATCCAAACACGATGTATTGAACATGTCATGAAGTATGTGTGTAGCACTACGAATGATCGAAGGGTGACTGGAGGACACTTGGTCAAACATCATCTGAAACTGCTCCAACTCCTCCTGTTCACGGTGAACCGTATGCGGAACAGCATGCTCTCCGATAACGAGCGTCCGCCAGAATGGATGAACCTGATCGACATGTAACGACGCCCTGTCTTGCGTACTTACGCGGTGAATGGTGCATGCACAAGGTAATCCATGAGTCATTGATATAGCACATCCGCACCGAATAGCCACTTCATCGCCCAACTCCCTCATCCTGGTATACTCGCTCAGAATCAACCCCAAACAGTGGTGTGACACACGACCGTGGAGAATCTTAAATATGAAATGGCCATACAACATGCCATGTCGTCGTCTGGAGTCCTCGAGATAGTTCTTGATGCCGTTCCTCTGAGTATCAATAGCCTTGTTTATTCTCTCGAACAGTGTATCCAGAGCAGCCGTGGAAGAATCAATCCAGTCCTTCAAAGCTCTATGAGCGCTCTCGACTCTGCATGTCGTAGTGTTCCCAAAATGAAGAACTTGGTTCGTCCAATATTTGACAAACTTTTCCCTCTGAGGTACCCACTGATGCATCACATAGTCTACGATTGGCGGGCACCACTTGTACGCATCCTTGAAGTTTTCCAAGGCTCGATCGTACTCTGCCTCTGTGGTAGCTTGCATGATCTTCCGCCACTTACCATTTACCAATGTCTCTGCTGTTACTAAATTCTTGTTGAAAAGATTGTAGGCTTTGACTTTCACGCAGTTGTTGATGTGCCATGTGCACAGTAAATGGCTCGACTCCGGAAACAGCTCCGCTATAGGGGCAAAAAGACCTCCCTCACAATCACTTACGATGGCCGATGGCTGTACATTTGGGCCGATGTAGTTTCTCAACTTTTCCAACACCCAACGGTAACTCGCAGCCGTCTCATCCTTCATGACTGCATAACCAATCAGAAAGTTCTGGTTCGTTGGAGCCATCCCAACCATCTCAACCAGTGGGAACTTGTACTTGTTTGTCTTGTACGTTGAATCGATCAAAATCACAGATGGCCAAGACGAAATCATATCAGCACAATCAGGATGGACAAGGAACAAATGAGTTACCTCCGATGTGTCTTCGTCAGATTCAAACCAGTAAAGGTAACCACGTGCTTGTGCCTGGTGCAGAAGCTGCTGTATAGGGTTCCTTCCCTCTGACCGTTCAAACCTCAATTTCTGTCTGACGTAGTAGATGTGTCTTCGGTTTGGCTGGTCTTCGGGGAATTTCTCTAACACAGACGCTAATATTTTAGCGGGCTTCACTTGAGCATCACTCATTTCTTTTACAACTAGTTTCGCAGCTGGACTTAGGCCGCTTAACTGCCGATGCCCCACTTTGTATGCTATCAGCTCATGGTTGTGATATCCCCATTTGCCGTAACCCTTCACTTCCCAACCGTCACGCCTTTGATGTTGTCGAACCTTAACTCGGAACTGACACCCACAACCTTTCCGCTTTGAGTCAAACCGAATCGCTTTACTGAAATCTCGTTCTTCTCTTTTGCGATAACGGTCGCATCTCAAAATGCGATCCATTCTACCATCCCTTTGAGATTTATGAGTTGCTACTACTAAACAAAAGCCTGATCTAATTGCAACCTGTTTTGCCCAATCAATCGCTTGTTGAGCATCTTCGAACAGGCCATCATGTACAAAAATCCCACTGTAATCATTTCCGTCTCCACCATAATCCTGTAACAATAACATATAACGTATAAATATAATTACATTAAGATTAAATTAACAAAAACAAACAAAAAAAAAAAGGGGATTAAATTAAAAAATAAAAAAAAAAAAAATTATTCCCCTACTGGCGCCTGGCCAGGCGCCTTGGCCGTGGCTGCGGCGTCCTGGCCACGCGCCACTACTATGGTCGAGGCTTCTCCACCAGGCGCCGTGACCACGGTGGCGGCGTCCTGGCTAGGCGCCACAACCACGGCATGGCCTTTTGGCTAGGCGCCAGCCACCATTTCGTCCTTACGATGCGTTACGAACCTCGTTTTCCGATGACGACGGCGATTCTCCGGTGATCCTCGGCGATCCGGTGCTGCTCCACATTTTTTTAGTGCGAAAAATTTATCTTCGGTTAAAATTATAAAAAGGGCAAATTTGTCAAAAAATTATAAAATGTGGGCTTTATGTAGAGATTTGCGGGCGATGAATAACAAGTCCCATTGAGTTATTAGATAACGCTAAAAGAGTGAGGAATATCTCAAATGGTTAGAATTCTCCTTTTAAGTTATATTAAGGTTACTCTAGGGTCAATTTATATTTAGTTTTGTAAACACTAAATAAAAAAACAAAAAACAAAAAGAAACTAGACAGTGCCTAAGCCATACTCGGTTTCTAAAATTAATACAAAGTATGAAGTAGTTATAATAACATAAATATAGAACTCTCTTTTATAATGTAAGTCAATAGTCAACCATAAATAATGATGAAACTTGTAGATAAATTAATAATCATATCATATAACTAATATATAAAGCTAAACTTTTAGTCAGGCGACGAAATAGAGACACTTGGCGTTCCAACTTTTCGCCAAGTGTCGCGCCACATAGAATAGAGTTGTATAGAATTCAATTTCTCGGATAAAAAAGTTAATTTAGAATTCTATTTTCAATCAAATTTGGATATAGAATTTTAGGATAAAATTGTTAATTTAGAGTTTTATTTTCGATAAAGTACCAATATTTCATATATACAAATTAAATTATAATTTTATTAAAAAAAATTATAACACTCATAAATTATCATATAAATTTATTTTTTGTATCATAGTATTTTTTGGAGCGAAGGAATTAGCTGAAAATGCACCACATCCATTATTTATAATATATTCTAATCAATTAAAACAATATACTTTACAATCTAATATAATTTTATTACTGTGTGTAGACCTGTCAATCGGGTTGGGTCACGAGTCACGAGTTATTTCGGACAGGGTCATTATTTTTGGTTACGGGTCAAGAAATGTTTTTCACCAATGTTATTATTATTAGTCATTACATACATGCCCTACTATATAGTTTAAATCATCACAAAAACACATCAATTCCTAACTAATTTTGTATCAATGATATGTTTTAAAATTTACATATAGATTAAAAATTTATCTTAACATTCAACAAAAAACCCGGGCATCGCACGAGCACAAAACTAGTAACTAATATATAAAGCTAAACTTTTAGCCAGATCACGAGACAGCGATACTTGGCGTTCCAACTTTTCGCCAAGTGTCGCGCCACGTTGGATAGTTTTAGACATACTTCATAAGATAAAAATTATTAGTTTAGAATTTTATTTGGATAAAATTTTAGGATAAAATTGTTAGCTTAGAGTTTTATTATCGATAAAATACCAATACTTCATATGTACAAATTGATTATAATTTTATTCAATAAAACATTATTAGATTATAATTCTCAAAAGCGTAAAACATTGATTTATAATATATACATTAATTAGTTAAAATTATTTACTTCACAATCTAATAGAATAGACACATGTCAATTAGGGTTGGGTCATGAAACATCTCAAATTAGGTCACTTCAGGTAACGAGTCAAGAAATGTTCCGCTCATGCCCAAAGTTTTAGGATTAGGTCAATCCAACGCGCTTTGAACATTTATTTTATTTGGTTTATTTTTTTCTAGTTTTTTTTTATTTTTTAATATATTAAATCAAACATTTTCACCAACATTATTATTATTCATTACTACATGCCTACTAGATAGAAAATCATCACTAAAACACATCAATTCGCAACTAATTTTGTATCAATGATATATTTTAAAATTTGATATATAGATTAAAAATTTACCTTAAAATTCAATAACTAAAAACCCGGCCATCGCACGGGGCACAAAACTAGTCTTGTAAAAATAATAA